TCTTTTAACCACCTTTTTCTTCTCCCAGATCCATCTTGTTGAATAGGACCCTGCGTGCTTCTCTGGGATAAAGTGTCCTGTTGAGGTAGGTTCATGGCAGGTTTTTCAGTTTCTCTTTGTAGGGGTTGCTGTGTAAATGTTGGCTGAAAATGATATATTTGTTAAATATATTTTTCCTTGCAATTATTAATTTTGTATATTGTAGAGGATAGTATAACCTGAAGGCAGTACGGAACTAAAATATTTTCTAAACATTCCATATCAGCAGTGATTATTTATTTTCTCGTAGTAAAAGAAGGCAAGTGTGAATATTAATTTACGCATCACACGAAATATACGCACAGTATTTTACGCGCTACACTCTATAACATTTTTTTTTCGTGATGTTACGTTGAGTTTCTACTGGGTATGTCTAGCCCTGTGGCATTCATTACCCAGTGACACTAAACAGGGACCTCTTCAACCCTTTGTTTCTCTACAACACATCATTCCTAAAAAAACAGTTTGATTGGAGCTGATGAGAGACCACTAGACATCTCTTGAAGTTCGTATTACATGTAAAATCCCGCAACTTTATGAATTGAAATCCACTGTCAGGAATGAGTACCTCTGGAATTCCGTCCCACGCGAAATGAGGCTCCAGATTCCTAATCACAAACTTCGGTGAACTCCTACATATCGATTTTCGAGGAGTTACTGGAGTAGTCCGCAGTGACTGAAAAGTTCTAATCCCCCAGACAGTCACTGTCGAATTTCTCTCATGAACTATCTGTTAATGCGAGTTTTTTTTTCTGGTTGCGCGGAATGGCCGTCCATGGTACTCTTTCACAAAGGGGTCATCAGGTCATAATTTATTCGTTAAACTCGGGGCGAACTCCGGGAGAGAACTTCATTTCTTCGAGCTCCTACGTCGTACCGTTCCATATGCATATCTTGCGTTGGTTATTCTGATTCAGCTATATTTTGATCTCTCTCTCTCTCTCTCTCTCTCCTCTCTCTCTCTCTCTCTCTCTCTCTCTCTCTCTCTCTCTCTCTCTCTCTATATATATATATATATATATATATATATATATATATGTACACACACACACACACACACATTGATATAATAGCTATGCATGTGTGGTGAACAGAACTGCGTATAACATTTTTTGTAATGAATGTATAAAAGCTAAATATCAGTATAAATATATGAATACTATTGACTGCATATGATAACAGTAGTATATGAAGTTATTAAAGAACAATCAGTAATAGCAGAACTTACATGCTCTGTATGTGTGTTTCTCTTTCTACCTCTATCACGTATTCTCTCTCTCATATATTCTGTCCATCTATTTTTGTCTGTCTGTCTGTCTCCCTCTCCGTTTGACTCTTTCTCTCTCTCCCTCTCTGTTTGACTTTCTCTCTCTCTCTCTCTCTCTCTCTCTCTCTCTCTCTCTCTCGCGCGCGCGCGCGCGCTCTCTCTCTCTCTCTCTCATATCTACCAGGCAATTGGGAGCAGACGGCCATCACAACGCATCCCTTTCCATCGACTGACCGCGCCTCCTTAAGTCGGGCCTCAATCGGATCATTCTGGCTCTGTCAGAGTGCCTCATAAAAATCCATATCAAAGGAAACCTGAATCCAATTGAAAGGAGTTTTCCTCGCGCCTGCTGGATCCCCCATTCCCATCTCCACCTCCCCTAAAAAGGAAAAAGAGATTCCCTGAACAGCACACTGATGTCGAGTCCGAAAAGGGGATCCAGGTGTTCGAGCGAAGCGGAAGATGGAGCTTCGGAGCTTCGGTCCACGAGATTCGAAGCAAAAGAAGGGTTTTCTTCTTACGCTTGTACACACACACACACACACGTACCATATTCAAATTCGTACGTTTAGGGTACAATTACACTAACGTTTCCAGATCCATGGGTCACAACTTTTTAGCTTGCTTGGGTCGTGTATGTATATCAGCCTTGCTCAGTGAAATACATGTGGCCATTCGTACACTTGTTATATTCCTAATTTAAAAATCTGGATGGATATTTTAAAGAACAATATACACATTTTTTTTCTTTTCTTTCTAGTAAGAATTTGGCAGGGCTAGGGTCTTAAATCACTTCCCTGAAAGATTAAGGACCACTAACTTACACAAGCGCAAGCATGCACCCACACCCACCTATCCACCCACACACAATGCACGCGAACAGTACACATAGAAGAACCACGTGAACTCAATAATTTTTTTTTATGAAAAGCTCTTGTCAGTATCTCAGGCTTAAAGATGAATGTCAAGGGACATTGTGCTAAACTTAATGCTCCGGTAAATATTTTGGCACCGAGAAAATCGCAACAGAAAAATGTGCAAAGTTCGCTCCTCGGGGGACACCCAAGCAGTCTGGATTGCAACAGATTGATGAAAATTGCTCGTCTAAATAGTTTGATATTGTCGTACCTTCTCCATCAATTATCAAAAATCGTCCCTCTTTATTTTATGTAAAATAAAATATTACCACATACATAAGAATATGAAACATTAAAAACTCGGGAACTTGTGTATGTGTTTGCTCACGTATATGCGTGCATATATTTGTACAGTCTCTGCATATATTTTATTTTTTTTCTCTCTCGAATGTAATAAAGCAGTAATATTACCCATGGCATACGAATGCATTTTGTTAATGAAGCATTTTCTTGTCCAAGCGCAGCACATATCATGCCAAAGCATTCCCGCAGGCACCAGCAAAACAAGCATTTCCATGTAATTGCACAAGGTTGCAGAACAAGAATTAGCCCGCATTTCCGCCATGACACAAGAGTACAGCGCTCTTGCATATCTTACGAGCTACCTCCGCCGAATGAAGCAACAGCGACACATAAAACATCGCTTCTCAAGACGTTTACTTGAGTTGGTAACGCTTAGTAATGAAGCCGACGGAATGCTGAGCTTCATGCTGCGCTGTTTACAGGATATGCTGTGTAAGACTGAACCTTTGGTTATCGCTGTTCATATATAATAAACGCATATATATATATATATATATATATATATATATATATATATATATATATATATATATATATATATATATATATATCACAAAGGCATCATATATATGTATATATTATATATATATATATATATATATATATATATATATATATATATATATATATATATATATATATATATATATATATATATATATATATTACACACACACATATAATTATACACACACACATACATATATATACACATATATATATATATATATATATATATATATATATATATATATATATATATATATATATATATATATATATATATATATGAATGTGTGTGTGCACATAAGCACACACGCACACACACTATACACACACACACACACACGCACACATATATATATATAAATACACACACACACTCAGATATATATACACATATGTATATATATGCACACACACACATATGCACACTGTATACTGTTACTGTATACTGGCTTAGTAAGCACGTTCCTCTATGAACATGCCGCCTACGAATATTTGGATATAGGACAAACTCTGATAGTTTGAATACAAGGATATAGTTTCAGGATTCTACTTCTTGGTCAAATGATATACTGTATGTAGCTTCTGTTTTATTCTTTGTGCAATTGTTCATGTTCTGGAAAGCAGATTTCTGTCCATTCAATGCCAAACACTTCCAGTTAGTATGTAATTCTACTTGTGATTCGTCCGTCTGTCCGTTACACCTGAAATCATCTTCCATGTGACTGCTGAGTTGATGTTGCTTCATTGTGATGTAAAATGAGTAGATAACATAAATATAAAAAAAATCACACACAAGCACGCAAGCATAAAGTCATTATATTGCGAACCTATTAGAATCCTGTTCAAACTCCATCATTATCATTATTGTTATTATCAACATTATTATTATTATTAACCATGTTATTGCTGTTGCTGCTGTTGATATCATATTTCTTCTAGCTATCATCATCATTATTACTATTATAACTAGATTATAAGAAAGAAACACAAACACAAGACTATATATGTACATTTTGTATGTATATAGTAAAGGATGAAAGATACATATTGTGACTTATTATACGCCTTAATTTTCAATTTGTGTTGCGCAATAAATATATGACAGCATTTCCTAGTTCCTATGATAACAACTATTAGTCATTGTCCCCTAAAAAAATAAACTACCGCACAGGGATTAGAAAAGGAGATAACTGTTCGAAAATATTAAAGAGAACCAGATATGAGACTCTAAGTAACATAGCCGTTACTGATAAGCCTTATCATTCTCCGCAAACGAGGATTCACTTTTGTTGCTCAAATGACTTCAATATGTCTACCGCAATCTTGGAAAAAAAATATAAATGGCGCGATTTAACACAGGATAAGAGAGCATGGGAGGAATCTCGACTTTACTGCTTTTACTACTATACTGCTGCCACTACCTCCAGCACCACTGCTACTACTGCTGCTACAACAACAATAACAACTACTATTACAATCTTACTACTATTACTACCATCACCACTTACTACTTCTACTACTACTGTTACTACAGCTGTTATTTCTATTACTAATATAACTATTACTACTATCACTACTACTGATACTGCTACCATCACCATTTTTCCTTCCATACAACTACTATTACTATTCATAGTATTACTACTACTGCTATTGCTACTGCCGCTATTACTATCATTACCACTACTACTACTATTACTACTATCATTGCCGCTGCTTCTACTACTACTACTACTACTACTACTACTACTACTACTACTACTATTACTACTATCATTGCCGCTGCTTCTACTACTACTACTACTACTACTACTACTACTACTACTATTACTACTATCATTGCCGCTGCTTCTACTACTACTACTACTACTACTACTACTATTACTACTAACGATACCAACACAACTACCACCACTATACATATTTAGACACATATAAGTGGTTATGAAAACAAACTTTTATACTTAAAGTCATTTATCAACCAGTTGATGAATAGTAGATAGAATGTAGTGTAAAAAACAACTGAATTATACAATATTAACTTACAATAGATGAATAAATAGAAGAAAAACGGATAAACTTGTACATAAATAAAATAAACGAAATTACAGACATGCGGGAGTAAGGAAAGAAGGCGAAAAAAAAACAAGTGAAGTGCGAAATGGAGGGAATAGAAGGAGATAAAAGTGGTAAAAAAGAACATGGGACGAAGACAAAGTGGAGGAAGAGGAAAGTGAAAGAAGAAAAAGAATAGGAAGACGAAATGGAAGAATAGAAAGTGAGGGAAGAAAGTGGAAAAAGAAAAAGGGGAGAAAACAAAAGGGAAGGAAGACAATGAGGAGGAAGGAGAGAAAGACATAGGAGAGGAAGACAAAGAGGAAGGTATTAAGAGAAGGAAGAAAAGGGAAGGAAGACAAAGAGAAAGAAGACAAAAGGGAGGCAGAAAGGGGGAAGAAAAAAGAGGAAGAAATAAAAGAAGAGGAAGTCAAGTGGAGAAATATAAGAGTTAGTAAAGTAAAATAAGATTCATCAAAACATACATCAAAACAAAACAAACAACAAAATGCACGAACAAGGAAAACTGAGAATTAAAAAAAAAAAATCAAGTCGGAGGCAAAGGATGATAATTGAGTTTCTTCATGACA